CGTCCTCCACAACTAGATTGAAGAACAAAACGACAGCAACTTGTCTGTTCCCCTTCCCCCAATTCCCCATCACTGCTCCCATCCCCCCAATTACCCAATAAAAATCTTTAAAAAAAAAAAAAGAGACTATTGCAGAAATACATGGAAGAAACACTGGTAAGTGAAACGGAGATAGTTATGACTATGATTAAAAGTACATGGTATCAAGACATTAATAATGTAGAATGAGTAGAACGTGTTTACTGGTTCGATTTACCATAAGAGTGAAGATGAGGAAAAAGAAAGTTTAGACAACTATGTGATAGGCATTATGGGAAGAAAGGCAGGGTAAAGGTGATATATTCAGTTTTGTATTTGTGGAGATTCAGAATTACCAGTATTAATATTATAAATACAACAATGGGAAAGAAACAGATTTCAACATTTTTTTAAGAATTTATCATCACGTATGTTTTTCCCCAAATATTATCAGCCAATGAAAGTTAGAAATAAAAAATCACTTTCTAACATCAAGGATCAAGTTATCCTAATAATCCTTTCTGAAGCTTACAGTCTTGAAGGTATTTAAACAAAAGTTGGTCAGAAGTGTTTTATGTAGATGATATTGCTTCAGAGAAAAGTAAACTGGACTAAATAATCTCCCAGATCCCTTCCATTTCTAGGGCTCTGAGTAAAAATCAATTAACATTGAGTTTATTTAGGGTTATTCTTACCTCTAAAGTTTTCAACAAAGTTTGTGTTACATAGGTCTTTCCACTGGCAGTATGCCCATAAATAAAAATGGATGGGAAACTGAAATGATGTCTCTAGAAGAGAAAAGACAAATTTTAATCTGCACATGCAAAACAGAAAATAAACATTTATCAACTCATAAGAAAGTTTGATGTAGTAAAGTAAAATATTCAATCCAAATTATTTCAAAAGTGAACATACAGTGGAGTCATCACCACACTTTGAATGTACCTGAATTCAACTCTAAGCAGTTCCTCTGTTAAAAAATCAAAATTTCTAAAAATTATATTTGGCATATTTATTATATACTGTAATATTATTGGGTCGTCGGGAAAGTCATGATGCATTTTTGCTTTGAAAAACATAGAAAAATACGTCATGACTTTCCCGACGACCCAATATATATAGTTATACTTTTTATATCATTATACAGATTTATATATACAAACTTTTGTATTTTCAAATTTATAGGAGATTTAAGAGGTTTTTCAAAGATAATTTCTGACCACACTTCATTTTTATTTTAACGCTTTTGTAAAGAATCTAATCCCCACACAGGCTGCAACTTCATTATACATTTTAAAGCTTTAATTAAGCAAATGTAATCACAGGGTCAGAAGGATTTCAAGAGTCCTCTGTTCTTAGGAGAACTTACAGGATACTTTCGAGTTATGCACACTAAATTACCCTGGCCTAAGTGTATACATTTCATCAAATAAAACAACGATAAAATCTACATAGCACATATTTTAAAGTTCATATTCCCAAGATCCTCCAGTAATGTATTAAGAGTCAGCTGCCTAGTGAAAATACTACTACAAATATGTCTGTCATTCAATGAACATTTAAATGCTGAAAACCATGACACACTGAAGACTATATCAGTTAAAGACAATCTGCTTTGAAGGAGCACATAGTCTATAGTCAGAAGACATACATTTTAAAAATAATTACAAGAATACTAGATGATGCAATTTCCATGAGAAAGTAGTCTCTATGATCATCACCTACCACCACAATAATCACAAACATTTATTACATTCTAGCCACTAAGTTATACATTTCCTCTTGCAAGACAAATTGGAAATCAGTTTTATACAGGAAAAAACTTTCTAAATGCCATATGCCTATGGCAAAAGCAGCCCAAACCCTAAAAATAAACTAAAAATGGATGTTTTAATACATTAATCCTTTTTTGAAAATGTATGTAAAAATCTTGTAAATTAAGTAGCTCAAAAATTGTCCCAAGAATTAAATGCTTCTTGAGCATCTCTGTTATACAAATACTGTATTTTACCTTTAAAGAAAAGTTCAAAACATCCTTCAGAAAATGTTTTCAAGCTACACTAAAACTCTTCCTTTATAGAATCCTGCCACGCTTGTCTGCGTTCATTATTTGGTGCTTAATAACATCCCCCCTCATAACATTCTTCTTATTGTTCCCTAGAACTAAATTGAACCCTTGCATTGTTATTTAGGTCCTGTCACCTTCATAAACCCCCCTAACATAAACTATAATAAGCCAGGATCTGGCACAGTGCCTGACACAGAGAAGGTGCTCAGTAAGTATTTATTTGTTGAACCTCTGCTTAAAAATATTAACTAGTTTTTTGAATCTCTCACATACACAGCACCTTGCAAAAAAAGTGATATTGTTAAACATGGTTTGCAGTAAAAGTAAAGGTCCAAATCCTTTCTGTGACCCATACCACCTTGATACTGCTCATATCTATTCCTCAATATTCATTCTCCGGAGGACCACTTCTGGTTGGAGTGATCTGGGAAAAGCCGCTGAAGTTTTAAACCTGAAGCACTGCTTTGGCTCTCACTGATCTTGAAAACAACCATCTATACACACTTGACTTACACCAACTACCTCACTGAAATGTGCGAACCTACATTTGAATAAATAACACTCTGCAAACACACCTGTTGTTTAAAATCCTGTTCAGTTGGGTTAAAATAAGAAGCAACCGCTAGTGAGTACTTTGAGCTAACACCATCTCAAAAGTGTGGCGTGTCTGTAAACGAACAGGTCCTGCAGGAGCAGGCCCGTCCTTCATGTGCGGTTTTCTTTTAAAGGGACTAACACAAGTTATTTTGGGTGAAGGAGAGGGGTAGACCTACAACACCCCCATATCAACGCAAAAGATGTTCTACTGCCCTTCAGTCCTTTTGCGACACACACAAAAGGAACACGTCCCAAGACTTCGGAAACGTTAGCCTCCGGGATCTGAAAGAGAAAAGATCATTTGACCACAATACCTCTCCAAATAGAGACTGCAAGGTGGACACCTGGGACTCGCGACAAAGCACCATGTTTTCCAAGTGAGGCATTCTGACGGCTACCAGGGAACAGTACAGCCGCCGGCAGCAAGCGTCACGAAACAAACCGAAGCTTCTCCCCCTCTACACCGCGGTACCCTCTCCCGCCGGAAACCGGAGCCGCGGGTTTGGGGAGGGGCCGGCGTGCTCGTGCGTCGGAGTGACGTCAGCGCGCACGCGTAACTTCGCCCCGCCTTAGTCTCTAACGGTCCGAGGTACCAGGCTCTGGGTCCTTAGCCAAGGGAGAGTTTTGTGGTGGCTGCTGCCTGGGGGTGGGCATCTCTTTTGCCACGCGGGGGCCGAGAGGACGCGAGGATGCGCGAACAGAGATGCAGCTGAAAAGAGCTAATTGGGCTCCAGTGGCCCGCGAACCCGTGGCTTCTGTTTTCCTTACTTGAGACCCCAAATTTAGAAACTTTTGAGTAGCAGGAGCTTTAGTCCTGGAGCCCCAGCAGGAAGTGAAGGCGGGCGTGCAGCCGAGGACCGCCTCTTTACAGGGATGTGGAGAAGGCGGGTTCAGATGACCAATATATTCAAAAGATGGGGTTTTTTTCCCTGACGAGGGTGTAGGAAATTAGTGGCGTCCGGGGCAAAAAATAATGTAATGGGGTTGAACAATTAACTTGATATTACTAGACTTTTTTTTAAAGATTTTATCAGGGAATTGGGGGAGGAGGACAAGTTGCTGTCTTTTCGTGCTTCAGTCTAGTAGAGGACGCCGCTTCACTGGCCCATGTTGGTGTTATGATCATTGTGCTCTTCCCGGGTGAGGCAGGCAGTCGCCGGCCATTGGATGGCCACTCATGGCACTTCTCCCTGGCTGCTGGCCCCTCATGCAGGCTGCCGGCCACTCATGATAGCTTACGGCAGCCCGCTGCAGCCCACGCTGGTACTGGCCACTCACACCAGCCCAGCTCCAGGTTGAGCTGTTGTTCACAATCTTAGCTATAGAGGGCGCAGCGTCACTGGCCTATGTGGGAACCTAACGGGCGGCCCTGCTGCTTAGAGCTCTGCTCCCAAGCCAACTTTTAACCAACTGAGCCACTGGGCCGGCCCAGAAATTACTAGTCTTCATGCAAGCCTGAAACCGGATCTACAAGTGCCTGTCCCTAAGAGGAGGAAGTTCTAAGTGTATATTGGTGAGGGCAATAGGAGTAAAAATAATGCTACCTTTAGCATAAGGCTTTCACGTGTATTTATTCATGGAACACCTGCCAGAAACCAGACACTAGAATATTCTGGAAATAAAAAGATATAGAAGTAGAAATGTATGGTGAAAAAAGGCCTTGGGGTCCTGAAACAACTGGGTTGGGGCCACTGGCTCAACGACTTCCCAAACTGAGACCTTGGAAGACTCCTCGAACCATTTTGAATTTCAACTTTCTTATCTATAAAATAGGAATAGTAATAGCTGGGGTACTGCTAGGAGTAAAGGATGATACACTTAGTGTTTGGTACACACAGATTTAAATTGTGGACATCAGATCAGATTCTTATATTTGTGATGGCCCAAAGGATCTTTTGATAATCATGGTCTAAAACTTATTAGCTAGTCAAAATTACACTTTTAAAGCAACAATTCAAATACAACTGCCTAAATACTGTAAGAATTATAAAAGTAAAATGGTATCGTCCATCAAACCTTTCCATATGTCTTCCTAAGGAAGCTAGCCCCTACCACCCTCCTAAGACTGGGTTATATGTTCTCATAATAACTACATCTTTATAACATTCAACAGAAGTAGAACTAAATATCTAAATGTTCATCTCGCTCTCCAGATGCTTTATGAGAACAGGAAACCCTGTCTTTTTCACAGCTGCATTTTCAGCATTTACTGTAGTGCCTGATACATACATAATAAGCAGTCAATAAATAAATGTTAACCTGAGAGGAAGTGCCTTACTGCCTGGAGAGATTAAGGCAAGTTTTTCCCAGAGAGGAGAACCAGGAAGCTGAGTCTAAAGAATAAGGTTCACCTGTGAGACCAACAAAGAAATTTTAAGCAGGGAAAAAAACAAGACAAAGCCAAAAAGGGCAAACAGCCAATCACTTACCAGGGACTAGAAAATAGTTTTTAAGAGTAAACCTAGTGAGTGGTGAGAGGTCAGGTCAGGGACGATTTGTGTTATGCTAATAGAATTGTATATTATGGAGGCCATCGGAAGTTTACTCTGAAACGAAGTTACCTTTAGGTGCTTTGGTCATCTACTGATAAAGAAATTTGAATATGAAGGACCAGCATTGTCTTTAGAAATTGGGTAATATATCCTTAGTACCATGTTAGACATTTGTGAAAGTCCCCCTAGTTAGATGAGGACATTATTTCGGTATTATCTGAAAATAAACCAAATATTTTTTCCAAAATAAATATATTTAATAATATATAAATAGTGATTAAATAATGATCAATATATTCATATATTTATTAGGAGAAAACATGAATTAGATTTGAAAGCAATGTCATAGTCAGGTTGCTATATTATTTTATGTACCTTCTCTAACCTTGCTATAAATCTTTAATTCAATCTAAACATGATGTTTGACTTTTATTCTCCTATTTACCACCTGTGAGAGACAAAATATTGGCCTCCCAAAGAAAGCCACGACCCAATTCCAGGACCTGTGAATATGTTAGATTACGTGGAAAAGGGGAATTCAGGTTGCAGATGGAATGAAGGTTATCAGCTGACCTTGAGATGGAGAGAGGAGACTGTATCATCCAGGTGGGCCCAGTGTAATCACATGGGCCACTGTTAGTGAGACAGAAGGAGAACCAGAGAGTGAAGGTGTGAGAATGGTTTGGACTGACATTGTTGGCTTGGAAGTGGGAAGAATGGAACATGAGCCAAGGAATACAGGCAGCCTCTAAAAGTTGGAAAAGGGAAGAAAATAGACTGTACTTTAGAGCCTCCAGAAAGGAATTCAGCCTTGGTGAAACCTTGATTTTAGTCCATTGAGACTCACTTCTGACTCTGACATCTAGAAGTATAAGAAAAAAAAATTGTATTGTTTTAAGCAATTAAGTGTGTGGTGATTTGTAACAGCAGAAATAGAAAACTAATACACCACCTATTACATTTGAGTTCATTCTGCTCTTTCTGCTAGGACACAAATTTATACACACTCTACTGATTAGTAATCATGTTGACTAGTTTTCATAGTAATCATGTTTGGAAACAATTCAGGGATATTGAAGTGATTGAAAAGGATATTTGTCCCATAGATTTTTTAAGAGTGAGGATCATAATACAGTATAGCCTGAAGAGTAACTTTTTTATTGCATCAGCATATGGGTCAATTCTATTGAAATTACATTAAAATATAAAATGCAAAAATTGGTGGAAATTCAAAGTTGACAAGCCCAGCACTATAGCAGGAAAGCTCCACAGGATCTCTCTAAGTTACTGTTAGATTAAGCAGACAACAATAGTAAGGATATAGGAGGTTTTAAAAACATAATTAACAAGCTTGATTTACCATGCAATAAATAATAAAATATTTACCTTTCTAAGCATACACAGCACATTTACTTAAGTTGACCACCACATACCAGGGCATAAAGCAAATCTAAACAAATTTTAAAGGATTAGTATCATAAAGATCATATTCTCATTGCAATGCAATCAAAACAGATGTCAATTAAAAATTTTAAAATATCCATAAGTTTGAGAATTTAAAAACATGATTCTAAGTAAATTAAGAAATATCCAATTTTTAATTACATTTAATACTGAGTTATTTAATAACAAAAGTAGTAAATATCAAAACCTGTGGAATGCAGTGAAAGCAGCACTAAGAGGAAAATGGAGCCTTAAAAACTGGAAATTAATGCTAAGAGTCCAACTGAAGTTACGAGACTTAAGTAGTTAGAATAAACCCAAAAGTACAGGAGGAAGGAGAAGTAAAGAGAAAAACAGAAATTTATGAAACAGACAACAAATATCAAGTAGGAAAATCAATAAAGCCAAAAGTTTGGTTTTGAAAAAAGTAACAAAGTAGATCAGAAAGTTACAAAATAATAATGAGTGAGAAAGTTTACATAAATTTACAGCCAAAATTACAAAGAAGATACTATTGAAAAGCTTTATGTTAATAAATTTGAAAACTTAGTCTTATCTCCTAAATGTCTGTGTTCTCCCGAACACAAACATTAGGACTTCATGTGTTGAAATCCTGATGTCCGATGAGATTGTATTCGGAAAGTGGAGTCTTTGGGAAGCCCTCCGGGTAGGATTAGTGATCTTATCAAAGATCCCAAACCCCTTCCATCACGTGAGGCTACAGTAAAAAGGTGCCAGCTATGAACCAGGAATAAAGTTTGCACTAGAACTTGACTTTGCTGGAGGCTTGATCTTGCACTTTCCAGCTCCCGGAACTGTGAGAAATAAATGTTGTTTATAAGCTACCCAGTCAGTGGTATTTTGTTATAGCAGTCTGAATGGACAAAGACATTGTTTGGGGCTTTATTTTGTTTTGTTTTTCAATATTATTGCTCCACCCTCAACTTCCAGCCTTTCCTGTGCAAGTGCACCTGAAATTCAGAGGTGTTCTCCCTCCACCTCACCCCCAGAGAAAGAATGCTGTTTCTGTTACTTGGTACTAGTTTGTTTAGTAAATGGGACATAGTCTCTGCTGTCCTGTCCTGCCTGTTTTAGGCAAGCGCTGGGCCTCTGGAATGGTTTTTTTTTTCTCAGTAAACCTGTCCTCTTCTCCATCACAGTTAAATTCTGCAGTGTGTCTTTGGGGGATCTTGTGTGGGAGAGTATTTCTGCTTTGCTCCAGGAGTAGAGGGATTTTTCCTTTCACCCTTCTCCCAGTCCTATAGATTTTCACATGCACCCTGAAAGTGATAATAATTGTTGCCTTTCTTCCAATGGCTTAAGACTTTTGGTTATCAAGTGAGGACTCACTGCCCAATATGCATAGAAGCGAATACTATGGCACCAGCTTTTAAGAAAAGAAAAAGGTTTTATTGCAAAGTCAACCAGCAAGGAGACAGGAGGCAAGACTCAAATCTGTCTTCCCAATCCAGAGTTTAAGGTGAGTTTTAAGGAGTTAGGGGGAACAGGCTGGTATGCAAAAGTGCTGGTAGGGCAGGTTTTGATTAGAGAGCTTGAAACTTG